AGCACACCTGGTAGATTCCAATTGTCCTTCCAAAGTTGTAAACACCCTTTGTTGTGTGAATCACAAGCACATCTTGTAGATTCCAACTGTCCTTCCAGAGTGTGACCTGTCAATCACCTTCATGACAGTTATCACACGGCAATGCACACCGTTTCTTCCTATGATTCCTTGCACACTCCTCTTTGCAGGGTTTGAGGTAATATGACAAAAATATAGAATACAGGATGTTGACACACTGAATAAACGACAGAGTTAATATATACTGCGAGCTTGGATTAAACCGACGCTCATAAACTATACCTAATGGTCAAGCTTCACGTTACAGCACTTCTCCTCTCGGGACCATGCATTCCTCAGAAAAATTATGTGTTATTTTGATTATTAAAATCCAAGTAAGACCATCCCAATTGATCAGTACAAATCGACGAAGCCCTGGTGTCACAAAATAAATGTGTTCACTTGCTGGCTGATTTATTTTTGTTGTTGTATAAAGTGAAATTAATTTCTATAGAAATCAGTTTAAACAAAAAATGAAGAAGCCAAATCCTTTACTTTCAAATTCAGATATATTGATGATGTACTTTCCATCAAAAATCCTAAATTTAGTGACTTAATAATCTTTTTCTGCTAAAATATGCTACATTTTTTCTATAATTTCCTTGGTAATTGGACTAAGTGAAAGTAATTTTCTATTTGCTAACATCTTCGTCTTAAATATTGTATATATATATATATATATGAAAAAACGGCCTAGTTTTGTAATATGTGAAAACAAGTGACTTGAAATAGTTAAATTAATGATTCCATTCTTTAATATTTGTTTAACCATTAATTTCATAGGTTTTCATGACACCACAAAACATATACTATTCTCTATGTAGTTTAATCTTTTGAATTGAATGGTGTAGTAAAGTCTGTGTTCGTATGGCTAAACAGGCTGGAGACAACAGCTGGGTTGACCAAGCACACTTTATTGTTACTACTCGTACAAGGCTAACGACAGTCAATTAAATAGCCCAAGTACAGGCGGGAAAGTTTATTGTTACAAGAATGCGATTGGTAGATAAAGCTTATCATGATAGGACAGTTACGATAATAAGAATGTACATGATAGGCCGAAATTAACTATCTGCGATTGGATAACTGTTTTTATCCAGAATCGGAGAGTACCATTAAGCTCAAAAATAGTTTGCAACAAAGTCCTGGTGATCTCGAATTTTATATTAAACTATTTCACCAATGATTTGGTCATATTAGTTTCGTTTTGTTTCATTGATTTTAAGTAAAATTGTCATTGTGTGGGCATTAGCACATGCGCATTGAATACTGTTTTGTATTGCCACACCCACTGCATATGGACTGACTTCTATAAATGACGTTTTTATTCTAACCAACTCTCAATTCTCCAGTTGATGTTGTTGGCGAGTCCACCTCTGCATGTAAGTATGGTGTTATTGAACGTTTTTCTCATACATTTTTGTGCATGTTTCATTTGTATAATATAATTCTGCATTACGGAATATGATTGTTCATGCCGCAATTTTCTACGTTTGTGGAGTCACTGTCTGCTCGCTTGGTATGGACGAATTGTTTTTGTTAAACCGACTCCATTTTAGTATGCCCAATTCGGGTACACGTCGTAGTCTGTCACCTTTTAGAAAATAGCTTAACTGAAGTTGGGGTTACAAATTAGGTAACTTTCTGTATTTCCATCAATTTTAAGTTAGAACAGCTCTAGCATATTTGGTGCACAATGTTGTTTGGTGTTTTTTTTCTTTGAAATAATGATTTCTATAATTCGTTCACTGAAAACTACGTGACACTTGGCTGATTATGTGGTGTATTATCTTCAAATTTATTGCTTCTCTAAAATGTCGTTTCTTTCTCCCTTCTTCTTTGCCAACAAAGATATATCAAGCACGTAGTTTGACGTGATCAATAAAGCAAGTTCAAACATTAAAATGTATTCGTATTGTGTTAAAACCTATTTGCATTATAGCAACCCGATGCGTTCTCCCGTCGAAAACATGACCCGATTTAACACAAGCACATTTGCAATTAAAGTTTCTTTAAAAATCATAGTAATCAGTTAACAGATCCTAGACAGTTGAATTTTCCTTGACAATTAGTATGTGGCATACCTACATAGTTTTTGTTCAACCACAGATATTACTTGAAA